CCGTCCCTCCCCGCGAGCGGTTACGGTGCTCTGTGCCGTAACAGTCGAAGTTTGTTGGGTCCGGCAGCTAACCAGGGGTGGTCCCCCCAAAAAGCCTGCGATCCCTGAATCTATCGCGCATGGCTCTTCGCCTAAACCCGCAACTCCAGACCAACAGAGCGCGTCTTCAAAAGACCGGCCGCTCATCGTGTATGCGTATCATGACTCCGAGAGCGCGCGTGCAAACCTTGATTACTTTATCAACAAGGGTATCCACAATGGCGCAGACTTTGTCTTCATCTTTAATGGAGATGCGAACGCGTCGAGCACCATTCCTGACCTGCCAAACATTAGCATTGTCAAGCGGGACAACACCTGCTTCGACATGGGTGCTATTGGCGAAGTTTTGAGGAAGGATGACTTGTGGAAGAAGTATAAGCGCTTCATCACGATGAACGCTAGCATTCGAGGGCCATTCTTACCGGCGTGGAGCTCGTCTTGCTGGTCGGACTTATATCTGAGCAAGGTGACGGAGACAACCAAGGTGAGTCTTCACAAATTTTCGATATTGACATGACGTGAACTCTAAGACAATTTCTTTCAAACAGCTTGTCGGAATGACACTCAACTGCATCCCTAGACTGCATGTTCAGTCCATGATCTTCGCTACTGATGATGTCGGCATGAGCATCCTCTTGGACCCCACAGTCGCAACAAGCGCGTCCGAAGACGACCGCTTCGGAAGCAAAGACGCTCCCGTCGGTCTCAGCGGGTGTTACGCGGACTGGAACGCCGCAGTCCACGCCGAGGTTGGAACAACGGGCCTGATCATGAACGCCGGCTACAAAGTCGACGCCATGATGACCGCTCTGCATTCCGAACAAGGAGTAGAAGAGTACTGCAAGGCTCACCCGGATTCCGGTGACTTATTGTGGGATAAAAAGTATTTCGGGAGCAACATTCACCCCTATGAGACTGTCTTCATCAAGGCGAATAGGAATGTTGATCCGTCTCTGATGTCGTCGATGACAGATTGGCATATGCGGATGAAGTCTAACAGCTTCGATGTGTGTGGCTCTTGACTGGCGTATGAGAGTGAGACTCTGTATGATATCCAATAGACTGTAGAAACCCTAGATAGAGTGTATATGTCTGATATTTCTAAGCGATTTCAACAGCACATCAGATTTTGAAGCCAACGAAGCCAACGGTGGTCAAAGGTGTTGTTGAAAGCCGAGCTTGTTGCGCCACCAAGGTCCTTTCCGTGTTTGGGATGGCATTCTCGAACGGATATTGCCTTACTTGATTGTAGCCATAGCTCTTTGCTGTCTCTTCTGAGCTCGCTAACCGCTAAGAAAGTAGGGAATATTCATCAGATTTCAAACAAACAAACCCAAAGTTGTGGATGCTCTAAGCAGCGATGCCGAACATCATCTAGGTGATACCTGAGAATGGGTTCACGTGAGTTACCTTTGGACTGATACAACGCATCTAAGAAGCTCTGTATTGAGAGAGCTGACTGCATGATATGTATAGTTGTAAGATCGCACTTGATCACAAATATTCAAGTACCGTTTCGATCCTTACTTCTTGTCATACTATTGTATTATTTCTTCTCAGAAATAACGAATAGCAACGCTGCCAGAAGGACAATGTGAGGTTCAGCCACAATGTGGCGCTAAATGTGGCTCAATCTCCATTACATAACTTTACAAGTTCTCCAAGTCCCAAAGTCCGGGTTTGAAAACTTCGCAACCTGCGCATTTCCCCTCCCTCCTTTAACCCCTCCACCCCTCAGGCCTCAGGTCCAGGAAACACATCACCAACGAACATTTCAGCACGTTCGAGCAACAGCACAGCACAGCACAACAGCAGCAGCTCCCCCGATTCCACACACCCCGCCAAGGTCAGGCATTCGTGCATGCTAGCAGCTGTGGTGTCATCGCAAAAGCTGAAACGGCAAGGCGGTTCATTACCTTATCCGATCGTACCCAAAGTGCAGCGCAAAAGCCACCAGTGCATCCGTACCACCACGCACGCCGTCTTTTCGTTTTGCTTGACTGCATTTTTGCGCCGAATCGGCAGTTTGGCCGGAGGGGTTGTCTTGCTTTTCTTACTCTGACTCAAATTTGGGGGAAAGTAAGTCAGCACTGAGCAGAGTCAGATCAGATTTTCGGTAGGCTTACTTGCAGCCTTTCCTTACAAATTCAACCTGCATTTTCTCTTTTGTTCCAAATCCCCCCTCAGCTCCGTCTTAGATAACGGACATCACGAAGGGAGGGGACAGAAGAGGGAAGTTTGCTTATGCAGGGCCAGACATGATCTTGGGATATGCGCGTATTTTCTTATCAACCGCTGCTTTCCCTGCTGCTATACACGTGTGAAATGTTAACTAACTCTTGACTTTTTTGGTATCATAAAAGTCAGTACCGCGAAATCCAGTTTGTCGCAAACGGCCAATTGAGCTGTCTATTACAGACTACGAAGTACCCACCCTCCTCGTCACACCTTTACGAGGAGCTTTGGGTTGGAAGAAGGCCCCCTGCGGTGCCGATCCGCCCCCGCCGAGTCAGTAAACTACCCCGAAAATGCCGGCCATGCTAGATGACCCGGCGAGCCCCACCATCTACCGGGTGTCCGGGGTTACGCCGTACCCGGATCCGATGAACCCTTCCCTACCGGCCGACATCACCCCACGTCAAGTGACGCTCCGCGACCGCCAGACCGTCGCCACCATCATCCCCTTCGCTTCGCGACACGAAGTGCCCCCGTCCCTGGTTCGCTACCTGAGCGACCAGCTCAACAAGGAAATCGAGGGCGGCGACACCTACCCGATGATGGAGACCATGGCGGCCGAACAATTCGGCGCCTACTGGTTCCAGAACTTTGGCGCCGTCATGATGCTGGGCAACATCGAGCAGCCGCACGCCGAACTCAACGACGACATGGACTGGTCCCGCGAGTGCCTCGGCAGCTTCTACATCAAGCCAAACTACCCGGGCCGCAGCAGCCATGTGTGCAACGCGGGCTTCCTCGTGACCGACGCCTCCCGCAACCGCGGCGTGGGCCGCCTCATGGGCGAGTGCTACATCGACTGGGCGCCCAAGCTGGGCTACACCTACTCCGTCTTCAACCTCGTCTACGAGACCAACGTGGCCTCGTGCAAGATCTGGGACGCCCTCGGCTTCAAGCGCATCGGCCGCGTAAAGGGGTGCGGCAACCTCGCCTCGTACCCGGGCACCCTCATCGACGCCATCATTTACGGGCGGGACCTGCCCGTCCCCGGCAGCAACGGCGCAGAGTCGGAGGACCTCGTGAGTGAAGAGCGTTTCGACAAGATCAAGTTTTATCTAAAGTACGGACGGTATCCGGCGGGTGCTGACCGCGCCGAGAAAAGCAGGCTCCGGAGCGCGGCGACGCACTATAAGCTGGTGGGCGAGGGGGAGGCCGGCGGCGGAGGCGAACGGCTGATGCTCAAGGATAAGGAGGTCGTGCCGGATCCGAGGAGGCAGTACGAGATTGCGCGCGAGGTGCATGCCGCCGGCCACGGCGGGATCAACAAGACGACCGCGACGATTGCGGAGAAGTATCACTGGAGTCGCATCAAGGAGACGGCGAGCGATGTGATTCGGAACTGTACGGAGTGTAAGGAGCTCGGCAAGACGCCTGCGCTGGGAGGTGGAAACGGGGGTGGTGCCAAGGGAAGGTCGGCGGTGGCATTGGCAGCAGCTGCTACTGCTGCTTCTACTACTTCTTCTGCTGCGCCTGTATCGGTTGTGAATCCCCTCACAAATACTTCATTTCATCACACTCATGCAACATCACCGCCGCCGCCGCCGTTATCGCCAGGGCCTACCTCAACAGTTCTCAGCACCGCAGACCATGTCCTTTCGCTTCAACACCAACATCCACATCACCACCACCACCTCCCGCCCCTATCGCCGCCAAGATCATCACCCTACGCAGAAGTTACCTCCTTACCACCCTCCCACACCCTCCGCGACCCTTCGGCCTCCCCCTTACCACGGCACCCGCACCATAACCCTATGCTACAAGATGAGTCCTTCCAGCCGATCGATCCGCAAATCATTGGCGGGCTGCAGCCGCCGGGGCCGACGTCGCATCACGATCTCCATCATCACCACCATCATGAGAACCCGTATAACCCGTACCACCCTCACCACACCGATTTCCAGGCGTTGCTCAACGCGACGGAGGCCGAAGAAGGGGTAGAGGGGTTGGGCGAGATGGGGGTGTCGGCGGAGGAGGCGGCTGCTGTGGATCGGGATCTGGATATGTTGATTGAGCAGGGGGATGATGATGATGTTGGGGTTGGGGTGGTCGTGGATGGAGACGCGGATGCGGTTATGGGGGAGAAGGACGGGAGGGAAAAGGATGTCTATTCTATAGAGTTTATAAATGGGTAATGCCAACGGGTGAGAGGAGAGTGGTCTGATGGTGTGGCGTAGTGTCTATTTGGCGTCTTGGATACCATGGATGAGGTCGGCGGCGGCGTGGGCCTGTATTTTCTTGTCTATTTCCTTTCATTTACTTGATAGACTTTTCACAACTTACTAACATGGCAAGCGGACATGTCAGCAATTCAGACTTTACTTATTTAAATGCTTTTATGAGGAGCATATCCCGGCTTAGTACTTTGAAACTAGGTTGCGCTTATATCGCAGTGTTTGATTACCCTCCAGAGCTGGATTTCATTGCAACGGGTAGCCGAGGCCGAAAGACCCAGGATAGAGAGCACTAGTCCTGTGAATGAATTCTCGATTTTGTACCAAATTTATTCGCGAAATTCTCTTTCGATCTCTCCTATGCCATCTCATATTACCTAGGGGCACGGAGCCGAGCGTCGGGACGGATGGCGGGTAGTGTGGGGCACGACCCGGGCCCTTCGCTCGGGGCGTCGCTTCCGTCCGGGATGAGCGGGGCGCACTAATGCCGTGTCTAATCCCAAAAACTCTTTTCTCGGCCAAATCTAAGAAATGCCTTAGCTCGAATTAAAGCGGTTAAAATGACGCGGCCACATTAATCGTGACCAAGGGCAGAGAGTTTGTGCAATTTTTTGTTCCTTGGAAGACTTGAGTTTCTGTGGTTCCGCTAGTATTCGTGGGTGCTCTGAAGTGTGCACTTCCGCGCTCTGCAAATATGGCGCCTTGAGTTTTTGCTTCTCCTTGAGTCAAGCTCCAGCCCAAGCACGAGGCTTCCACGATTCGTGGGGGCGTGTATAAGGCAGGTATGTGTGTGTGTGTCGTGCAACTGAACAATGCACTGAACCAGCCGGCGACAACGGCCGGGGCGAACATGCTTCCGTCTCATCTTTCTGGCGGGATCCTGGAAACGCGAGAAGACAGGGGGTTGCCAAGACCTAATTTTCGGATTTCCTCTGGTATACGTAAGGATCCAAACTCTAAAAGCCCAGCGCTCGAAAGTTGAAACCTGTTCGGATTGCATTTGCTTTGACTCCGTTTCTATCTCTTCTTGCGTGCTACCCAAGGTCTTGGGGGTGTTTGGATTGTTAATGTTGGGTTGACAGAAAAGGCAACGAGTAAGAAGAGGGTGCTGAAGTCTCACAGCGTTCGGATCCCTCACCCAAAGTCAACGGATCTGCAGACACGGAGAGAAGAAGGACGGGGTCAGGAAAGCGACCGACGGACGATACAATTACAGCCTCCCTCAGCGGGCGGCGGGTTGTGTGTCCTCCGGTATCTGGTCGGCAGGACCGATAATGCTCACGATTTTATGGACCATCCCGTCGTGGTTCGTGCTTCTCTCTCATGCCGCCATGCCATGTCCATCATCCATCTATCTGGCCTCGTGGGCGCGGAGATCAAAGTGGGACCTCTCTCAATTACAATTCACAGACTCAATCTGTTCGAAAAGCAAAGACGTATTGCACGCGACGTGATTGGGTATACAGTATCCCCGCGAGATGGTATGCCGGCCTGTTCGGCAGGGCTGGCGAGCATAATCCCCGTTAAGCATGTCTTTGCCCATGCCTATGCTCAACAGCCCTGCCGTTGGCTTACAGAACCGTGCTTGCACTCTATCGAGTTGCCCTTCTTTTACCGCACAGCTTCGGTGTACGGAGGACGGATGTCAGTCTTGCCAGGGAGGAGGCCACCTCATCATCCCAACTTCACCAACTCCAGACGGCACCCAGATTTCATATATATTTAGAAACCTTCTTTTCTTTCGAAAAACCAGAACCCCGCGGCCACCCGATTGGCCGGTCCATTACATCGGAAGTTCTGAAACTGCGCATGTTCTGTCCCGCAAACCTGCGCCCTTCCAAGAATCCCTCGCAGGTTCCCGCAGCCCGGGGTTGCCTTGAACTCTGTTCCCAGCAGCACCTATTCTTCTTTCCTTTTCTCGGTGACTACACTACCTAGGCGTTCCTTTTTTCCCCTGGTGTGCCCAAGGTTAAGGTACCGACACACCAGCGTACCGTCTAGACGGTCACTCCCACCCCTTCCAAAACTCCGCGCCCGCGGGTTGAAGCAAGGAGCGATCAGGAAGGGGGGGATAACCACTACTGCACACTGGCACACATCATTGCGACGAACTCGGGAACCGGACTGTGAGACGGGCGTAACCCTGTGACTTTCCTCCTGCCGAAACTTGCGACGCCGTGCCAAACGGCAGCGTACGCGTACGTCTGGTCGTCTGGTCACCGCGCTTGGCTCGACTGACGGACACTTCAGACCACAGAAGCCCAGGCCGCCCAGAGATCTGAAGGTGTCGAACTTCGTCACGATTGGGGGGTGTGTAGAATTGATGCAGATTGGCGGGACCTCCTACACAGCCTCGATCGGTCGAGGCCAGCACTTGTTTCCCGACTGCGACTTTTATTCTTTTCGAGTCAAGGGAGGGTGTTGGCCCGGAGCCCGGCAGGTAGGGGTGAGGGTGTGGTAGTTGATAATTTGATTGGGGTGGTAATCAATCAAAGAAGGTTGGACTAAGGTTATATAGCGCTATTGACATCCACGAAATTTCCCGTGGCGCCTCCTATCCTTTCGATAGTGTCATTAAACTTATCAGCTTGGTCTCTCCATCCATTTCTGTGACAGCAGACTGCTAGCCTCTCTTTTATCGACCAACATTCGCTCTTCACACAAAGCTCTCCCAACATCCGTCACGTCGCATATACACAAAAGTGCTCATATACATACAAACACGCTCTCTACATACATCCAGCACAACCAATACAGCACAACACACAACCGATATCATCTTACATACACACAGCCGATATACCTACAACACACGTAGTCAACCACACGACTCACAAAACTCAAAACACCACATACACAACACACGAACAAGTCAACATGAAGTTCTCACTCCTCACCCTCGTCACCCTCATTAGCGCCGCGTCCGCAATCAGCGTCGACGCCGGCCTCATCAAGAGACAGTGCATCGCAGAAGGAGGTTAGTTCTCTCTCTCTACTCAGTTCACACAATCCATCTCACCCATAATCATTCACACATACTGACGAACAATTCCTTCTTCAGGTCTCTGCTTCACAAGTACCACAGAAGTAGACAAGCCCTGCTGCGGCGGCCTCATCTGCAACACCGACCCCGCGCGCAACAATGCCAACGTGTGCGGCAAGAAGCCTGCCGAGAAGAGGGACATCGACACCCCGAAGCCCCTGCCCGTACCGCGGGCCATGCCTGAGATTCCTCGCGATGAGCCCATCTGGGGATAAGGTGTGGAAAACGGAGCTCAGGAGGGGGAAAAATGTTGGGGCGGAGGAGAAACTTCTACTTGGGCCGTTTACTTTGGCCGACAAAGCGCACGATTATGATTTTTTTTTATTCTTCTTTCGACGATTCAACCACAACATCTTGGTTGCTAGGGACGGGGGACGACTTTAGACTTGATACCACATTTCTTAGCGTTTTTGAGATACCAACTTTTCGATATCGTTCAAAGAATCTGTTTACTTTGTACTTGCTCCTGGACTTCTTGATGAGTCTTGTGGTCTAAATCGTGAATGTTTCCCAAAGCCTAGATAACGAGATCGCTCTCAAGCCTGCCATCTGGGAACATCACATGTGTTTCAAGAAAATCATTTCACTTTGTCTTGGGACGTTCACTCCAGTAAATCTCTCCATTGAGCAAACATGACCTGCACACCGAAGATCCCCTCACCGCGTAGACGATAGTATTCATGCTGGTCATAGGCCACATTCTGACACGACAGCTTTGCGTACGAATGAAAAGAAGTCTACACGTCGCTGAAGGAGCAAACGGAACAAAAGGGGACGATCAGGTCACCACACATCCGTGCCCCTAACAACAGATAAACCACCCAGCCCCATCTACCCACTCCCGTCACACAAAGCCAAGCCAAACTCAAGGACAAACATACAATTAAGCTAGTTTCATTTTTCGTTGACACGTATAGAGTAGAGATGATATACGTTCGTCTCATATGAAGGCTTCACCGAGTACCTACTCATCTACATGTAACACGTATGGTCAATGCCAAACCAGGTGCTCACGGTGCCTTGAGAAGGGTCCAGGGTCCGATGGTATACAAGATATGAACATCCAGCGAATAATCTTCTTTGAGGGGGTTAAAGACCAAACAAGATGAATGTCGACGGTGACAGCTTTCACTACAGTTAAGAGCTGAATTCAATCGAATTTGGGTAGAGCCATTGCATCAGCTATGTCATCGAGCTCTATCGTGATATTGAGTGGTAGATAGTCTCACAGAGGCCCAAGGTGGGCCAAAACCGTATGCCTACCTGCAAGAACTCATCACTGCCAACCCCACACAGCAGATGAATCACCCAACATTAGTGACAAACGCCCGTCGATAGCAGCAGAGGGCGATTTTCTATAGAAATACTGGTACATGTTCATACATTGGTAGGTAGTCTAGTACAAAGTCCCAGGACAGGACAATCCTTCTCCCTCATCTTTTCTCTCTTTTCCCATCTCAATCCTCGACACTCACTTCACCCTAACTGACCCACTGGAGAACTTCAAAGCTCACCATCAACAGCCTTGCTCCGGTCAACCTGCATCATCTCAAGCAACCTGGCCTCCTCGCCCTCCTCCGCGTTGTGCGCCGTGTACGAGGCCGTCGACTGCCACTTCTTCAATTCCCTCTCCCACGCGTTCCCCTGGGCCTTCATGAATCGTTGCGTCTCCAGCGGGGTGGTCCACTCCGACTCGCCGTTCTCCGCGGCCGCGAGACGGCGCTTCTGGCCCGCCTCGCCCGCGCGTCCGAGGACACCCGCGATGACGGCGACGGATCGGTAGCTGTTCACGACATTGTTAGTCAACGGGCATAGATAGAGAGGTAGTTGGGGGGTTTAGATGGGGAGTTCGGCGTTAGGGAAGGGAAGGGAAGGGAAGGGAAGGGGGTGAATACTAACCTGTCGTCATTGGCAGGAATGGCATACGTAACCCAATCCGGATTCGCATCCGTATCAATAATCCCAATCGTCGGCACGTTCGCCAACCCACACTCGTACAGCATGGTATAGTTCTCCCTCGGGTTCAAACATACAATCAGATCCGGCACCAGCGGCCGCCCCGTCCTCTGCAACCTCTCAAACCCCTGCAGCGTGATATCCTTCTCGTCCACGATCCGCACCTCTTTCCCCTGGTTAATCACGTCGCGGTTCGTAATGTTGCCGGGCGTCCACTTGGTGAACAAGTGACACCCGCCCGCGAGCTTCGCCGCCCCCGTCACGATGTCCATCTGGCCCTTGCGCGTGCCCGCGAACAAGATCAGTCCGCCGCGGTACGCCACCTCTTCCACCACGCGCGCCGCGCGACGGAGGTACGCAGCCGTGGTCTCGAGGGAGATGATGTGAATCCCCTGCCTCACGCCGTAGATGTACTTCGCGTTAGCCGGGTTCCAGCGGGACGTGTGGTGTCCCATGTGCGTCTGACTCGCCATCAGCAGCTCCAGGCTGATGTCCTTCGGGTGAGGCGGGTTCTCGATGAGCTGCGAGGGCACGTACGGCCGTCCGACGGCGGCGCCGACGCGGGCGTTGAGGTTCTGCTGCCGGCGGAAGCGGTTATAGGCGTTGGGCACCGTCTTGGAGCGGGCCTCGATCGCCTCGACGCGCTTGGCTGCGACATCCGGATCGTGCTGCGGAGCGACCTGGGGGATCTGGCGGAGGGCCGCGGAGGTGGTCAGGTCTGCGAACGTCTCGGGCGTCATGGCGCCGACGAGGGCGTCGGTCGTGATGCCGGCGCGGTGGCATGATCGGGCGACTGCTGGGGCCAGCAGTGCTCTGCTGCCTGTACGAACAAGTCAGTATTAGCTTGAGCTCG